AGCGAGTCCCCCCATCCATCCCCGGGTCCGCCGTCCATCCTCAGGGTCCCCTCATCCATCCCCGGGTCCCCCGTCCATCCTCAGGGTCCCCCCATCCATCCTCGGCGGTCCCGTCCGACATTTCCCCTTTCCGCAGCTTTTCTTTTTTCCCCCGCTGGGGAGCTGCCGAACAGGAGACGCCGCCGGATGGAGTTTAAACTTTTTTTTTTTCCACTGTTTTTAAACTTTTTTTTTTTTTTTCCTGCCCGACACAGCGAGCAAAGCTCCAGGACGGTGGGAAGTTAAATCCTGAGTCTCTGCCGAGCTCAGAGCGCGGCTGCTGAGCAGGGACACAGATCAGTCTCACAAAGTTGGTGGAGGTCCAGGGACTATATGAACATAAAACCCAGGAATCAGGCCTGGTTTAATCTGCCTCCATTTATAGGCTCCTGTTTGGTCAGAGGCCTCTTCATGTTTAGGGTTCCTCTCTGGCTTCCAAAAACAAGCTGTTTTGGAAATGTCCTGAAAAAACCATCAGCTGTGAAAAGCACCTCTGAGGCATCTCTGCTACAACAAATCAAATATTTCTGATTTTCTCCAAGTAATAAACATCTCTCCAGTTTTGCACTTTTAAGAACCCCAAGACCCTTTTGGGAAGGGTTTCCTCCCAGAGAACACCTAAAACTTTTCCTGGAACCTAAGTATTTTCTAGCACCTCATCCCCATCCTTCTCCCTGGGGAATGAACACAGGTAACACCCTCCTGGAACTCCAAATGCCCCATCCCTCAACCCTCCCCCCAAAACACCCACTTACAGAGCTGAGCAGAGAGGAGTGGGACAGCAAAGGCACAGCCCTGGAGCCGCAGCAGGGAGGTTTGTCCTGGGGGTTTCCAGCTAATTTGGGCATTTTGGTCTCAGCTGAGTCCAATAAACACCAACACAATCAGCCAATGGTGGAAGATCTGCACCTGAGAGCTCTGCAGAGCTGATCCCCTTCTGGGTCAGGACTGTGGATTTTAAGGAGAAAACCCCACCAGCTTCTGCTTCCCTATGAGGGACATGTGCCCAACCTCCCCACCCCATGTTCCCGGAGACCAGAACAGGTCTGAACATCTGAACAGTGCAAGGAAAATGGATGTTTTGTTGTTGAAGTGCTCCAGCCTGACTTGACTCCAAGCTGAAAGCCACAACAGCCCTGACACATCCCAAAGCAAACCAGGAACAGGCAACGGTGACCTGTGTGGAAAAACAGCCTTTCCACAGCTGGATGGCAATGGGGACACTCTTTATTTTGAAGAAATTAGAGGAACATGTCACTGAGTGATACCCAAAGCAAGGGAGTGCCTCAGATCTTACCACTCTTTCCAGAGCACAAGACAGGGACTGAGGCGAACTTGGGTTTGTCACAATCTCCAGCTACCTGTATTGTTATGGAAAAAAAATCAGGAATCAGCATCTACTCCTCCTTCTGTCCCTCCACTGATTAAACAACCCAACCCCAACAAACGGGCATAAAACATGTCCCTGAGCTGTCGATCACAACCTGCAGTGGGATCAGCAGCTCCTTCCCTTCCCAGCCCTGCAGTGGGACAGGATCCATCCACCTCCACCTGCACCCTGGGAAGCTCGAGGTGCATGACCCACCCCCAGGGAATGCAGCTGGGCAGAGAACACAGCCCAGAACTGGCACCTGTGTCACTGAAACTGCCTTTGAGGAGAGAAAACAAGTCATGGAGGACAAAGGTGTGACACAGCCAGTGCAGCAGGGCTGGGGAGTGAGGGGCGACCAGGCACAGCCCAACTCACTACAGCACTAACAGACCACAGGACATTGTACAAGGAGGGAGAAAAATTACAGAGCCCCACAAGGAAACCACAAGTGTGATTTAAAAGGTGAAAGTCTGTGAGAAACTATTAACAGGTGATCTGTGACACGTGATAAAAGGAGCTCATCGTGGTTAGCAAGAGGTTTTTGATTAATTAGCTGTAGAGGGAGGGGGAAAAGGTCTTCAGAGCAGGAAAACAGCTCTTTGATTCAGAGAAATACATTAAAAAATAAAATCATTGGCTGGGTCTGGCCAGAAAATGTATTTGTGTCAAGAAAGTCCCACTCAATCTGAACATGGAGGGGAACTGGGTGGGACAGCAGGACAGAGCCATGGGGGATGTGAGCTGGGCATTCCACAACAAACTGGTTCCTCAGGGGATGCAGCAGCACTGCAGCTGTTGTGGTGCTGTGAACAAGCCGCCTCCTCTCAGTGCTGAACATCCCACAGCATTTTCCACAGGGCCACAAGGGACCCAGGCTGTTCTGGGCACACACCTCACCCAGCAACACCAACCACCCGTGGCAGCCGGCCCACACCAGCACTGATAAAGTTTACCCAAGTTCCCCATTTCACCAAGAACTCAGTTCTCTAATTACGAACCAGAGGAAAATGATCTTGCCCTCAGCTCTACCCCTCCTCTCAGAGCAGCACTTGTGTTCAAGGCCAGCCCTGCTCAGTGCACACAACAAGGAACACGAGCCCAGCGTGGCCTCCCACGCCGTGTGCGGTGCCGCGAGCACAGGCTGTGACAGCACCAGCTCTGACACCGCTGTCACCAACACGTGTCACTGGGGGAGCTGCACCCCCGGGGGGGTCCCAGAGCTAAACCCAGCATTGCTGTTTAAAATCCCCCCTCTTGCAGCTCGGACAAATCCAAACCGAGAATCCGTGGGTTTCCAGAACAATTTATTTCTCTAAGTCAGGCCCTTGGAGAGCAGGGCCTAGGTTGTGATAAACCAACACGGAGAAGATTTAACAATTTCATCATTTAATAAGTGATTTTCACTACATGGTATTGTACACTGTCATCTGTTCAAAAAAGATCAACAGCTTTTAAAAAACAAGATTCTGTGAGAGATTTATATAAACTGGTGATCAAGAGTAACACCTCTGGTTGGCTTATCGAGTTTCTGGGTTTCTTTGTAGAACAAAGTCTTTAGGTTGAAATGCACAAACCCCTTCCAGCAGATCCTGAGCCATTTCTGTCACTCCCAGAGCCATTTCTGTCCCTGCCCTGGGACTGCTGTCTCAGCACTACGAT